GTGAGAGAAGAGAGTGGAAGATAAAGAAGAAGCAGCAGTGGCGATGTTCTGTGTTGCCGTAAGAAAGGTTTTGGATATTTTAGTCATTTTAATCTTTTCGTTCCATTCTGTCCATGCGCTACCAAACGCAGGATGGAAAAACTGTCATGTTCCGTCCTGCACGTACCAAACATAACACAGAACATCTGTTCCGTTCCATTCCGTCCCATCCTGTCCCGTCCCGTCCCGTTCCGTCTGCGTACCAAACGCTACCTAAAGGAAAAGTAACTGTATTTTACATCAGGTTTGAGGGTCAATTCGAAAAATAGTCACAATGTTTTAATTTTTCAATTTTACATCATTTGGTTTTTGAATTGTACAAATTTAATCTTTTCGTCAATTTTATTGTGTAATTATACATTATGTGCTAATATGATACATACTAGGCCCACATTTTAAGCACACATTGACTGTTCATTTGATAAAAGGATTAGAAGAGTAGAGTATTAAACATTAAAATTGACGGTCAGTTAGTGCTGACAATGTGGGCCAACTTGATGCCACAGAAACACATGACATATAATTAGAAGATGAAATTGACGGAAAGGTTGAATTGGTGTAATTCAAAAATCATGTGGTGTAAAATGCAAAATTGAAACTCGGTAACTCATTTGCAATCCAAACTTTATGATGTCAAATGCAATTAACCCAAAAAATTAATATATCCAGCGACGTTGCTATTGTAGAAAGCAAAATACCAGGTTAGTAATGGCTTTTTACTTATTTTTACTATATGGTGCTATCTGAAGCCAAATTAAATATTCATTTTTATTCTTCAGTATTTGGGATAGATAATGAGAGGTATAAAAAAACACCACAAACCTGTCAAAATGATGTCTTGGTTTTGTGTTGGAGTTTGAGAAGAAATGGTATTTTGTTATCAGTTTGACAAGAAATATACTATATAGACTATGTGGACTAATGCGAAAGTTAAACGATTTTGTATGCTTGTGAGAGTTCGGTGTTGAAACCAATTTTGTACACATCCATTGACAGAGGCAATATTCAGTCGGGATTGCCCATGAACTCTAACGAAGGGTGAATGGAGTTGATTTGGGGTTTGAATAAATCCCGATCAGGCTGCATGCATATCTTTGGGATTGGACAATCGAATCACTGATCTAGTTCTAGAGAAGGAATGGTGTGATGTGTAACATTGTGAATCATCCTTGATGAAGGTGCCTAGACTTAGGAGATGCTTCGTCATGTCTTCGCGTAGATGAACGGTGATAATATGTGTATAGATAATTAGAGAGAAGTTAATGGAGATCAAAGAGATATTTGTTCTCTCCAGACAAATACCCAAGCTAGGGTATTTATAGAGATCTTTAGAGAGTAGTCCCTATTAAATTGGAGTGAGATATCTAATCTTTCTAAGAGTATGATTATGTTGTCTAATCCCCAAGATATTGTAATTTGACATAAATAGGGGTCTCTTACTTGGGAGGCAAGTAGTATAGGTAACAAACATAAGCTTAATTTGTCGGACTAAAGCTGTCTAATTACGGGCAATTATGGGCTCCGATTAGTAGGCATGCCGTACCAACGAGGATAGAGAGAGAAGAACGAGAGGGAGAGAAAGAGGAAGGAAAGAGAGAGAGAAACATAAAGAGAAGGAAAAGCGGTGTCATCTGAACTAAAAAGTGGGGTGGTGGTGTTTGTTGGGGGCGGGGAGTGCCGCCGAGCGACAGTAGACCTTCTTTTTTTTTTCCCTATTTATTAATTTTTTTTCCTTATATGCCAAGTATGCTCATTGTAATTAATTTAGAATTTATACCACATATGGGTTTAGTAGTACTGTATATACTGTAATATTTATGTTGGAGCAATATTAGAAAATATGAAAATAACACAAGAATTCTATTAATAATAATCATAAAAAAAATTCACAACATTAATTTATGTATGAGATTAATACAAACAACCAGAGAGAAAGTTAGAAAAACTGACAAACTTGGAGTTTGAGGTTTGCATAAATGCAATGTCCTAAAGATAGAATTTCGCCCCTGCTCTTGTGTTTGTAGTTCAGTAGGTGTCCGTCTCCTAGGATTTAACAATTTATAATCCGAAGTCAAAGAATTTCAATCTTCGACTCTGGTGAACTTCATATATTCTATATTCTCAAAACACGACTCGGATTTTTACTAAGAAATTGGAGAAAACTCTTCTCTTAATTCTATTAGACGGGTGGGATGCTTGAGTTTATATAGAACTCAAGCCACCATTATTGAAACATTATGATTGTTGCCTAAAGTTCCAACAAACAGATACAACTCATGAATTTGAATTCAACTATGACACATGACTCCTATTTTTCATTCATACAAAAATTAAATATTATTATATTAATTATAATATATATAATTTCTAACAAATGCACATAATCAATCAAGGAATCGTATTTCTACATAAGGTTCACAAAAAAAATGTTTACTTCACTTAAAATTTCTTTATACTATCAACTGTCATGATGATCGCTATTCCCCTTGGAGATGCCAAATGTCTTAAATATGTACTTTACATTTTTGGTTGGCCGGAAAACTCTCCAATTGAGAGATGTAAAATATATATCTTGGTTGAAAATATAAATAAAAACCTATATTTACATCTTTTGATAGTGGGACTTGCCAATCAAAGAGATAAAATTAAATAGGATCTTAAATTTACATTTATCTCATTAGAGTAGAACTTCCTTTTGCATGTCAAATTTGCATCTTCCCAAAAGAGATGCTCTTAGAGCAAGTCTACCCCTACCTAATTGCCAACAGAGATGCTCTTAGAGCAAGTCCACCCCTACCCAATTACTAAAGCGATTGGGAAATTGAATTCCCCAAAACCTCAATCCAATTAGTCGGCTACATGTGAGCCCAAGACTACTAGACTACCAAGTCAGGCAATTCTGGACTAGCCTAGCGCCTGAGTGATCTAATGTTATGCTGATGTCAACCACGTTAAAAAAAAAAAAAATTGGATTCCAGGGACCGATAAGCCATGCCACGTTGACGACGGAGAGGGCAGTGTCATTTTCTTCAATTCTCCTTTTGGGTTCACGAACATTGAGCGGCAAAGGCAGAGGGTGCCTGATGAGTCGACTTCATATTGTATATTTTTCCCTAATCTTAGTATTAGTTTATTAGTTATTCTGTGAGAATTATGATACTTTGAATTATATTTCCAATGTAGGACATTTGACTTCTTCTTGAGAAAAAACTACTCAAACAAACGAATTTTGGAGTGATTCTTATTAAAGGATGTTTGTGTGTCTCTCAACTTGATTGTATCAAAGTTTCATATTTTTCTACTGAACGATTTATATATGACGATGAAATAAAGGAGCAGCATGCAGTGTTGTCAAACTGACGTTTTGAGCTTATTTGGGCTTTTTGACGTCCAAAATGATATCTTTTGGGTTTGAGGTCTTCTGCAACTATGTTCGGGACATTTTAAGCTTTACTTCAAGTCATTTTGGCTTGTTTTGGAGCCCTGAAGATCCATAAACATGGGATTCTTTGTGGCTGGACAAATTTTTCAAAGTTAGAGTATGAATGTATTTCCTAGTTATCTTATTCTATTATGTTTCCTAGTTTTTAGAAGACTTTTTTCTAGCAAGGATTTTATTTTGTAGTAGTATAAATAAGGCTTTTTAGCCATTAGGGTTTGAGGGATGGGAGGAAGAGAAGAACGCATCTATCTGGAACTTAGCTAGGTTTTGAAGATCCAAGTTTATTTACAAGGTGTTTGCTATCCATGTTTTTAATAATATTTGGTTTTATGATTGTTCATAACTAATTTTTGTTTGCTAGGGCTTTCATGACTTATCAATCTTCTACCTTCACTTGGACAAAATATGCAAGTTGACAATCATATTTTTATTCATCAGTCAATGAATCTAGTAGATTGTCCAAGATAGGCCAATATAGACGTCAAACTAGCCCTTAATATCGTTTGGTTAAATGAACAATAAAAATAAAATATGAAACATATTTTCTTCCCATACTCTAACAAGAATTGCATATCAAAATGATTTCGTATTGCAGCCTGCCATTCAAAGAGAGAGAGAGATTCATGATTTATGTTGTTGAGTGTTTGGGTTTTGAGTTAGGGGTGTGATATCCACACACCCCTTTTTACTTCTTACACACCCTTTTAATTTTTAGTCGTCGGATCGGATGAATTGAAGAAGATCAAAGGACAAAAATCAACAAAGAGTGTGTGGATAGCACACCCCTTTGAGTTAAAGGGAAGATTTTAATAGGACCTATAAGTAAAAAGCTCCCCTCACTTTCACAGAAGAAATAGATTTGATTTGCTTAAGATGTGAAACATATTTTTGGGTCACAATTCATGTTGCTTGTACGACAAACAATTATGATGCTCGTTCAAAAGTTCAATCCACCTCAAATTCGTTTCCAACTCCAACTCCCTCTCTTCCCCTCTCTTTTCTTCTTCAACGTGCACAAAAATCCCTCTTTCACTAGTACGGAAAACACTTTGCGTGATGTAGGTCCTTCGTCGTGCAAAGTGAAAAAAATGTCACGCAAAAAATTGCGCAACAAACCTTCGTCAAGTGCCAAGTGTCGCACCAAGCCTATGAAAGCAGGGTTTGCGCGCGCAATGAAGAAATAATGTATGTCGCACAAAGATACTTTGCGTGACGCACAATCCTATGTCACGCAAACCCACTTTGAGAGAAGTAGGAAATGAGTCACGCAAAGTGTCTTTGCACAACGTAGGATTGTGTGTCACGCAAACCCACTTTTCGCGACGCATTTCCCTACGTCACGCAAAGAAACTTTGCATGACCTATGTAACTTCTTCGTCGCGCAAACTCTTTTTTTTTTTTTTTTTTTTTTTGGGACAAAAATATATTTGATTTAATTTTTAATAAATATTGTAAATTAATTCTAAACAATAAATAATAAACCAATAAAAAGTATTTAATTATAAACTATATGAAGATGTACATACAAGATGTTCGGAAAAAAAAAAAAAAAAAAAAAACTACAATAAGTAGTCTTCTAGGTTTGATACGTCAAACTACTAGGTATCAGCTGGACGAAGTGGTTGGGAGGTCGAAGGTGGAGCAAGATCAAGGTTTGGGGATCAAGCTTTGAGGACGAAGTGGCTGGATGACGAGGAATTGTGAACAGAAGGCTCCGAATCACTGCAGCGCCAGTGAGGCCACCGTGCATTGAGCAACTGAACCGACACTGATGACGTTGATGGTGATAATGCGGGAGGCGCATTGATCACACTCCTACGACGAGTGATCAACCGCGACATCTATATACTTTTTGAACCATAAAAATATAACATTAGAAACTAATCCTTTCTTGCATTTGAAACTAGAAGCCAAAAGCAAGAAAACTGAACAAATAAACCATGTGTGAAAAAAGCAAAAAAAATTGAACAAACATTAACAGAAAATTAAAAAGTGTAATGAATCTAAGGCAGCACGATTGATTAAAAAGAGTCAAACCTAAACCAAGAGACCTATCCTAATCTGTCAATTTCAGGTAAGTAGTTCAAAATCATCACCATATGTTGGTTAGGTAACCCTAGAGTACTTCATAATTATTAAATAATTAGCATCGCATACCTAGCTTTATATTCGTTGCTTTGCTTTAATTTGATTAATATCTGTATGCGAGACAAGTGAACTTCGGATTCCTGGGATAAATATTTCAATAGCTTGTGAATTTTGAGATCCTTTTGAATTTTGTTCATGAAACAATTCATGAAAGTTGTATATATATTAGGTTTTTTATTTTGTGGATGACCAAGCCAATAAAATTCATTACACTTTTTAATCTCCTATACAATTTTACCTTTGAATTAGAGATTCGTCTGTTGTACGCTTGTCTAATATTGAATTTGCATAAAATTAGCCTTTCAATGTATCTGCAAAAACAAAACACAAACAAAAAGCAAATTGTAACTTGTTCTTAGAGTTTCTGACAATTGAAGTAGGAACCAATTGAAGTAGTGATAAGTGAACCAATTCTTATAGAGATTTTGACAAGCAGGAAAACGTCAAGCCTTCGAATGTTGGAGACTCAATTGCTATTTCAACTAACACAACACAAGGTAAAAATCATTAAAATCAACCGAAAGATCATAAATCAGTTGATGTCAAGTAGTGAACAACTAAGTCATTATCCAAGTCCATAACTATTCATAACCCTAGACACAGCCTTAATCCGCCTTTCTTACTTCTCATCTGGAATTATGAATCTTCTACTGCACTGGAGTTAACCATCCAGATGACCACTAAGCAGCATATCCTTGAATGCTACTATTCGCTTCTTCATGTTCTGCTATCTATCTCAACAGCCAACCATTGCAATCTAATAGACAAGATAACTTTTGATCTCAACCATTCCATTTAACAAGGGATGATCTTGTAGCTCCTTTTATTTACTCATAATGTATGTACTGAGTACTTCCCCTACATAGATCGGGAAAGCGAATGCTGGTTATATGAAACACCCTAGAAGCTTAAATAAAATGATATTTCATAAAATTAGTACCACATAATCTGATCAGTGAGTACTGAAAAAGGAAGATTCAGGTAATCCCCAAAATTTGGCAAAAGAAACAGAAAAATTCTTAAATTCTCGAAGCAAGAGCCCACGTTAATTGGTCCCAAACCCAGTGAAGCTTAAGAACTAAAACCTAATCCAATCTGCTACCTCAAACTAAACAAAATCCATCTCATAAAATCAGAGATATTCATAAATTAATCAGTAACCAGACCAACATTTGCATCAGGTGAGCTAAATTCAATAAATTAATTAAATCAATTCATCCTTAATTTTGCATCAGACCAACTAAATTTAGTAACCAGGCCAACATTTGCATCAGCTAAATTCAGTAAGCAGACCAACTTTTGCATCAAAAACCCTTACCTTGATTTTGGGACTTGATTATTGTCGGCTTCGAGATTCGTGTGGCTGCCCGTCGTTTAGAACGAGAGGGAAGAGAGAGGTATACGGGAAAGAGAGAGGGAAGACAAGTCTAGGTTCAAGATTTGGGGATCAAGGTTGCGAGGAGGAGAGATAGAGGAGATGAGGACTATGGGAAGGGGAGATACGGGAAAGAGAGAGGGAGAGATGAGCGACAGGGAAGAGAGGTCAACGGGGTTCAAGGTTCCCAAACGGGAAAGATAGAGCGAGAGGGAAAGATAGAGGAGATGAGGACTATGGGAGGAGGAGATGAGTCTACGGGAAGAGAGATTTATACGGGAAACATAGAGGAGATGTGTTTGCGGGAAAGAAGGAGCGAGAGGGAAGAAAGAGGTCTACGGGGTTCAAGGTTCCCAAATTGAAAATAAAAAAATAAAAAAAAGCGCCTAGTTTTCATTATTCACCGCCAAAATTATCAACTGGTGCGACGTAGGCATACAATTTGACGTCGCGCAATGTGGTTTTGCACGATGATTACATTAAAGCATTGGGCAAGGCTCTTTTTTTTAGAAAATTAATAAAAATTTTACTGAAAATGTGACTTTACTTCTTTCAAGTTCAAATTTTTTATTTATTTTTACATAAACCCCACAATAACATATTTTTCTACCAAAAACCCATAATAATTTTTTTTACATATATATCATTCAATCTCTTAAGTGTTATAACTACAAAATAAATAAAATAAAATCTACTTAGTAAATATATATACCATTGAACTTGATGGGAAATGCATTGTACGAAAATAGTTTCAATGATTCAACTGTCAAACTTGTTTGTATATGATTCGAGATCGCATACGCCACAAATGGCAAAAACAAACATGCAGAGATCAAGTAACGAGACAAAATATTTCGACGGTTATAAACGAAAAATCACAATTTAACGGTAGTTTTAACTCCGATTTTGATGATTTTTGTACAGATACACTCCTTGACCCTAAATGAATACAATGAATGAATTTGATCTTCAATTTAAAGTATGTACACTAGTGAATACCACAAAATCTTATGTTATACTTAATGAAAATATAAACAAACTCTAAGTGTTAGTGAATAAATTTTTTTGATGGGAAATGCATTGTACAAAACTAATTTCAACGATCAACCGTCAAACTTGTTTGTATATGCTTCGACATCACATATGCCAAAAATCTCAAAAAACAAACATGTAGAGATCAAGTAACAGGACAAAACATTTCAATGGTTATAAACAAAAAATCACGATTTAATAGTAGTTTTAACTCCGATTTTGATGATTTTTTACAGATACACTCCTTGACCCTATATGAATACAATGAATAAATTCGATCTTCAATTTAAAGTATGTACACAGGTGGATACCACAAAATCTTATGTTATACCTAATGAAAGTATAAATAAACTCTAAGTGTTAGTCAATCTATCGTTTTGATGGGAAACGCATTGTACAAAACTAATTTCAATGATCCAACCGTCAAACTTGTTTGTATATGCTTCGAGATCACATACGTCAAAAATCTCAAAAAACAAACATGCAGAGATCAAGTAAAGGGACAACAAATTTTGATGGTTATAAACAAAAAACCAAAATTTAACGGTAGTTTTAACTTCGATTTTGATGATTTTTTACAACTACACTCCTGGATCCTATATGAATACAATGAACTAATTTAATCGTCAATTTAAAGTATGTACACAAGTGGATACCACAAAATCTTATGTTATACTTGATGAAAGTATAAATAAACTTTAAGTGTTAGTGAATCTATCGTTTTGATGGGAAAAGCATTGTACAAAACTAATTTCAACGATCCAATCGTCAAACTTGTTTGTATATACTTCGAGATAACATAAGGCAAAAATCTCAAAGAAAAAACATGCAGAGATCAAGTAACGGGACAAAAAATGTCGACGGTTATAAACGAAAAATCAGGATTTAATGGTAGTTTTAACTCCGATTTTGATGATTTTTTACAGATACACTCCTTAACCCTATATGAATACAATGAATGAATTCGATCTTCAATTTAAAGTATGTACACAAGTGGATACCACAAAATCTTATGTTATACTTAATGAAAGTATAAACAAACTCTAAGTGTTAGTCAATCTATCATTTTGATGGGAAACGCATTGTACAAAATTAATTTCAACGATCCAACCGTCAAACTTGTTTGTATATACTTCGAGATCACATATGCCAAAAATCTAAAAAACCAAATATGCAGAGATCAAGTAACAGGACAAAAAATTACGACGGTTATAAACAAAAAATCATGATTTAACGATAGTTTTAACTCCGGTTTTGATGATTTTTTACAGATATACTCCTTGACCCTATATGAATACAATGAATGAATTCGATCTTCAATTTAAAGTATGTACACTAGTGGATACCAAAAAATCTTATGTTATACTTAATGAAAGTGTAAATAAACTCTAAGTGTTAGTGAATCGATCGTTTTGATGGGAAACACATTGTACAAAACTAATTTCAACGATCAACTGTCAGACTTGTTTGTATATGCTTCGAGATCACATACGCCAAAAATCTCAAAAAACAAACATGCATAGATCAAGTAACGGGACAAAAAATTTCAAACGTTATAAACAAAAAATCACAATTTATATGTAGTTTTAACTCCGATTTTGATGGTTTTTTTTACAAATTAACTCTTTGACCCTATATGATTACAATGAATGAATTTGATCTTCAATTTAAAGTATGTACACAAGTTGATACCACAAAATCTTATATTATACTTAATGAAAGTATAAATAAACTCTAAGTGTTAATGAATCTATTGTTTTGATAGGAAACGCATTATACAAAACTAATTTCAACTATCCAACCGTCAAAGTTGTTTGTATATTCTTCGAGATCACATACATCCAAAATCTCAAAAAACAAACATGCAGAGATCAAGTAACGGGTCGACAGTTATGAACAAAATATCACGATTTAACGGTAGTTTTAACTTCGATTTTGATGATTTTTTACAGATACACTCCTTGACCCTATATGAATAAAATAAATGAATTCGATCTTCAATTTAAAGTATATACACAAGTGTATACCACAAAATCTTATGTTATACTTAATGAAAGTATAAACAAACTCTAAGTGTTAATTAATTGATCGATTTGATGGGGAACGCATTGTACAAAACAAATTTCAACGATCCAACCGTCAAACTTGTTTGTATAAGCTTCGAGATCACATATGCCAAAAATCTAAACAAACAAATATGCAGAGATCAAGTAACGAGACAAAAAATTGCGACGGTTATAAACGACAAATCACGATTTAACGGTAGTTTTAACTCCGGTTTTGATGATTTTTTACAGATACATTCCTTGACCCTATATGAATAGAATGAATGAATTCGATCTTCAATTTAAAGTATGTACATTAGTGGATACCAGAAAATCTTATGTTATACTTAATGAAAGTGTAAATAAAGTCTTAGTGTTAGTGAATCGATCGTTTTGATGGGAAACACATTGTACAAAACTAATTTCAACGATCCAACCGTCAAACTTATTTGTATATGCTTCAAGATCATATACGCCAAAAATCTCAAAAAACAAACATGCATAGATCAAGTAACGGGATAAAAACTTTCAAAGGTTATAAATGAAAAATTACGATTTAACTGTAGTTTTAACTCCAATTTTGATATTTTTTTACAGATAAACTCCTTGACCCTATATCAATACAATGAATGAATTCGATCTTCAATAAAGTATGTACACAAGTGGATACCACAAAATCTTATATTATACTTAATGAAAGTATAAATAAATTCTAAGTGTTAGTGAATCTATCGTTTTGATGGGAAACGCATTGTACAAAACTAATTTCAACAATCCAACCGTCAAACTTGTTTGTATATACTTTGAGATCACATACGCCAAAAATCTAAAGTAACAAACATGCAGAGATCAAGTAACGGGACAAAATATTTCGACGGTTATAAACGAAAAATCACGATTTAACGGTAGTTTTAACTCCGATTTTGATGATTTTTTACAGATACACTCCTTGACCCTATATGAATACAATGAATGAATTCAATCTTCAATTTAATGTATGTACACAGGTGGATGCCACAAAATCTTATGTTATACTTAATGAAAGTATAAACAAACTCTAAGTGTTAGTGAATCTATCGTTTTGATGGGAAACACATTGTACAAAACTAATTTTAACAATCCAACCGTCAAACTTTTTTGTATATACTTTGAGATCATGTACACCAAAAATCTCAAAAAACAAACATGCAGAGATCAAGTAACGGTATAAAAAAGTTCGACGGTTACAAACGAAAAGTCACGATTTAACGGTAGTTCTAACTCCAATTTTGATGTTTTTTTACAGATACACTCCTTGACCCTATATGAATACAATGAATGAATTCGATCTTCAATTTAAAGGATGTACACAAGTGGATACCACAAAATCTTATGTTATACTTAATGAAAGTATAAATAAACTCTAAGTGTTAGTGAATCTATCATTTTGATGGGAAACGCATTGTACAAAACTAATTTCAACAATCCAACTGTCAAACTTGTTTGTATATGCTTCGAGAGCACATACGTAAAAAATCTCAAAAAACTAATATGCAGAGATCAAGTAACAAGACAAAAAATTTCGATGGTTATAAACAAAAAATCACGATTTAACGGTAGTTTATCCTCTGATTTTGATGATTTTTTGCAGCTACACTCCTGGATCCTATATGAATACAATGAACTAATTCGATCGTCAATTTAAAGTATTTACACAAGTGGATACCACAAAATCTTATGTTATTGTTGACCCTAAAAACTACAAAGCCTACGTGGCGCGCAGGCCGAGTAATCTATAAGCTAACTACGTCATTCGATGAATGCGGGGCGTGCCAACTCGTCGGCCGAGCTTGGTCGAGGAGTAAATTTGCTGATGATGTGTTGGGCGCGCGGTTAACTTCTGCGTCTTGCGATTGCGACCGAGGAAGGAACACGTCTCGGCCTCTTGGGTTCTCGAACCTGAAGACAAGGCTACTATTCTTACGAAGTTCACGAATCGTCGTCGTTGGATTCGGTCACAGTGATGTTATTCGTCAGAGTAAACTCACGCCGAATTGATAATAAACGTGGTTCGGCTGTCTGAATGCCGAACTCTAAATCCCACTTGAGAGTATCCAATTATAAAATAACTCGGCGTGCAATGCGCCGAGCTCAGTAAACTGTAACACCTCACTTTGCCGAGAAGGCTAATGAGATGACCTCAATCAATAAGGACTCGGAAATCCTTCTTGACCGAGACTTGGATAGGCAACCAACTGTCCTCGCCGCAGTCCTGTTGATGCCAACGGAAGATACTGCGA